AACACGCACCCACGATGGATGCGCCGAGGCCATGGGCAACATGGGCGTTGGTATGTGACGTCACAGCAACGATGTGGCATGTGTCGTTTGACGACCATTTCTATATTGAATTGACTTTTTATTGCGTGATTTCCATTTTCATCGGGCACACGACACAATTCATCGGGCACATGGGCAATTGCTTGGGCACACGGCCAATTATATCGGGCACACCGCCAAATATATCGGGCACACGACATCCGGGTGCCAAATTTAACGGGCGCATGGCCAATTATATCGGGCACACCGCCTAATATATCGGGCACACGACCAAATATACCGGGCATTCGTCCAACTTAACTGCAAAAAGGTGTAGTAAGTACGTACTCACATATTGTCGAAGTTTTGCTCAGATACTCAACATGTTGGCGATTAGCCCAGGAGTTTCTGATCTATTCCTCAGAATTGATCAGGAACTAATGCTCTTCGAAAAGGAAATATCCTATTTTAATAGAACCTATTAAAATAGATTTTATAAAAGAAAAATAAAGCAGAGAATAAAGGCGGTAATACGAGAGGAGCGAGCATTATTCGAAATGATTAGAAAGAGGAAATCTTATATTTAAATAAAATTGTAGATATTTCGTCGATAAACACCGGATGAAGAAATAAAATAAATATTGAATCTATACTTGTTGTTTGTAAGCAATCAGAGAATAAAATTATGGTCGGTGGCTGGACACGCCGTTGCGACAGCAGGCGTGTGGACTCCGTGGCAAACTGCACATCTCTGCACGGCGGGTAACTCCACCTTTGCTATGAAGGCGGAGCTAATATTAATTAATACCTTGGCAGCGTAGGAGCTGTCGTGCGCTAGGATGTTGATCGATCGTAGGTGAACTCTTTGAGTTCATCGAGACTTTGAGGAAGAGTAGGGCCTAAGATGTTATCCCGTGGAACGCTTGAGCATGGACAGTGATGTTCATGAGCGTCACGTCCATGCTCAAGCTCTGTATTCACGTGTGTAGGTCTTGTCGCCGATGTGAATTCCCCGACATGATGCCTGGGAATCATGCTGGAAGCCAAATTGTCTTAAATGATAATCCAAACTCAATTAACCAATAAAGTCGGCCACTTTTTCTGACCTTCATTTCGCTCTATAGCTGAGATTTAAATCAATACCTACAGGTACTGATCATAATATGTGTCATTTACGAAATAACTCGATCTGTGCGTGAGGTATCAATCTACAGTAAAATTGTAAAGATGGCCACTCCAACAGTGATCATTGATATGCCGAAATATAGATTTGATAAAAATATTGGAAATGCTTCGAGGAAACGATACAAACATCTATTTATAAATGCAATTAACTGTAAGTATCATACGTTCAATGTACCTCTAAAAAAGTTTGCAACGCTATGGTGCAAGAAGCCTAGAAACTATATTTTGAGCACTTTTTAGAGCGTTATAATATGTGCAGTATTATTTTTTCCTGGCATATTAATCACAAAAAGGATAGATCTCGACAAGGCGAATCGATCATGTGGTTCCAAGTCACAATTGACGAAAAAATGAGAGCTATTTTAGTTTAACCGATTGCCTTGCTACAACAGAAATGTATGGGCTCGGACGTATTGTGGCCACCCCATACATCTTGACGTTTGTATGGGCCAGTTATCCGTACACTTTATCCGTACGTAGATTTAGTTTAACCTCAATCTATAAAGTGTACGGATAACTGGCCCATACAAACGTCAAGACGTATGGGGTGGCCAAAATGACCAAAACATATAGGTTAAATAGAAAAACGTAGGGCAAAAGATTTGGCCTGTTCGTCGTTTCTAGCTTTCTTGCACCATATAACATATTAATATTTCCTGGAATAATATTAACTTACCATGGGTTTCATTGCTGTGATAACTAGTTTTATCCAATCATATCAATTCTGAAATTCTATTGGGCAAGAAGTTCAGCAAATCAATGATTGTTTTCGTTTTTTTACGTAATAACCAATACCCTGTAGAATACAGTAACACTTGAAACATAATAGTCAACATGGCAATGTTACAGGTCTGTGGGTGGTGGCATGTTGCGTCGGCGTTCGCGGTGCACCGAGGTTGAAGCAGCGACGGGTGCGGCGGCAGACTTTGCGCAGAACCTCGTGTTGCTGCTGGTCCCTCCATGCCAGGCCACACGAAGGTAGTCCATCCTGCCATGTGCATATATAGTCATCCGATGATGACGACGACGCTGGACTGACTAGGGGATGGATGCATGCACTGGTGCTGTATCCGCTGCAGTGTGTGGAATCCATGCTTGTGCGACCACTGAGTCAACTTCGGCGGCATATGCCACTGCTCGGTGGTGTCTGCGTCGTGGCTCTAACTCTGTGGAGTCTACTGCTTCGCAGTGTCTGGCGGCACGTCCACCACACCCTCTCGACCGCATCGGCCACCCACGACCCGCGACTCAACTTTGACAAGTTTTGGAACGCTGTCGAGGCGTACTACGTGTTTACGGACGCGACTACATGCAACTGGTCCCTCGTTCACACGATCTTTGGCGACAAGATCGACGCTTCCACCAGCGAAGACGACCTATGGACCGCCATCGTGGACAGCATGGCGCTCCTCGGGGATCCGTCCGTGAGGCTGTTGCATCCCCAGGCGGGCGAGTCCTCCTCCTTCGCTCTGCCCCATACGGACACCGTCAAAGCCCCCGAACTCGACGCCCATGAACGAACAAGGACATCGCAGACGTCGGCGGCGTTGCTCCCGCCGCTCGTTCACGTGGCGCCGCACATCTCAACCTTCACATTGCCCCATGCATCTTCTTCCCTATCCAGTGTCATGTACATTCGTTTGGACGCTATGGCTGGCTTTGTCGACCGCACATTCCCCTTGGATTGCTTTACCCCTCCGTCGAATCCGGTTCGTGTGCTTATCCATGTAATATTTCTTGTATATCGTTGACAATCGTTCGTATGGTATATGCTACTATATATATATATATATTATTGACTTGGTACGAATTTTTTGTATATATTCATACTATATATATAATATTGTACATGTACATGGTGGTGTAGGCGGCGGTACCAGAATTATTTGATGTTGAAGCGATGCGATGGGCGCTGCAATCCATCGCCCCACTTGACTCGAAACGTACTGGCATCATTTTGGATTTGAGGGAGAATAGCGGCGGCGGCAGTCCGCGCGCCGCCGTCGCGGCCGCCGCGATGTTCTTGCCGCCACATGCCCCCGCCTTTGAAATCCAAGAGCCGCTGAAAGCATGGGGCCACGTTCGTCGTCGCACATTTTACACCCCATCAGCATCAACCGGTGATCGGTTGGAGTATTTCGACGGTCCTCTTGTGGTGCTGCAGAGTGCTCGCACAACTGGGTACGTGAATATATATATATATATAATGTCTTTCACCAAATTTGGACCTGTCAGTATTTGATAGAATTGAGGCTTGTACAAACTGTGCGATACAAACATTAATTAGTATGTATGTGGTTTTGGCCAATGCCGAGGAACTGGGCCAAATTAAACGTTTGGATTGGCAGAAATTTACCAGAATGTGATTTGATTGGCTCAGGCGGTTCTTTCATCCCACCTCAAAGACATTCGATTGTGCTCGTCCAGTCGAACGATGCGATGAGCATTCTGATATGAACTTGTGTGTGTGTGTACTGTATACACTCGCTAAATCTACATGGATCATATGTTTGTACGGACTTTTGGATGTAAGACGAAATGTCCAGAGTCACACTACTTTCAGTGTCACACTAATTAGAGGTTATATTGATTCTTGGGCTCATATTATATCTTTGTGCCGTTTCGTCGTCTGTACATACATACATTGACTTGGCTGTGTTAATATACGAAACAGCCTTCATATGTCGCTCCAGTGAGGTTCAACAGTACATCCATAGCACGGCCGAGTTGGTCCTGCTGGCTCTGCGACATCGTAAACGAACGGCATGTGTGGGCGAAGTATCCGCGGGTCGGGCGTCGGGGGTGCTGCAGATGCAGCTGCCGAATGGATGGATCGTTGAGATGCCGCATCAGATTTGTCGAAGTGCCGACGGAGACATCGTGTGTGTCCAAGGCCAAGGCCTGCCGCCGCATGTCCGCGCAGACGTGACCGATGACATGTGGATCTGGTCTACTGCAGTGAAGCTTCTTACTCAGCTATAGAGAATAACTAACAATATGTCCAACTAACTCGGAATATAATACATACTCGGAACGATGAGGTTGATTGCAGGAGTAGTATATACTCTTAGCCAAGCACAGTTTTGTGCGTCGGTCGATATTGGCTGAACGATTTTTGGGGGAGGTTTGTGAGCATTTTGCCAAGAGCTATGATGGTTCCGCCAGGAAGTCGAGTTAGAAGTGACAGTGATTGTGTACGTGGATAGAGTGAACATAAAATTCACGGAGGGTATTTATTTAATATTGTGATTTATGGATATTTTTGCGACTTTTGTATGCAATAGAAATACTAGTAAGTACTTACTTAAGGAAGAAAGAAATATAGTTGAAACATTTCCATAGGTAGTCGTGGAAAAAGTATAAGGTAAGCAAGTTTATCGATATACTTAAGTATAATGGAAAAAGAAAAAGTCAAAACTCTTCCTCCCATCGTGTGGAAAATTTATTTATTTTCCAGTAACTTATGTATAGTAGTGGTAAATGGAAGATTATTTTCGTACATTTCTTAACGTTACGTTAGAAGTTAAGCAAGGGCAACAGGGTGCCGATCCCTTCGTGCAATTGCATCGCGCAGGCTTCGTATTCCGCTGCGCTTTGATGCCATGGATCAGGAATATCTTGTGGGAACACATGAATCGGGACGTCCGTGGTCGGGTAGCGTTTCCGCAGGAGCTGCTCGTGCTTGGCAGTCACACAGACAATGATGTCTGCTTGGGCAATCAAGGCGTCATTCACGAGCTGAGATCGGTGCGACGTCAAGTCGAGACCTCGACGGCGCATGGCCGTGACGGCGTGCGCCGATGCCGGACTTCCGGGGGGTTCGTACTCGTCGGAGAGGGCCATGGAGGTGACTTTGATGCTGGGAGCTCGAGGGTGGCATTCCTTAATCCACTGCTTGGCCAACGCTTCCGCCATCGGGGACCTGCATGTGTTGCTTGTGCAGACAAACACAAGCGTCGTCGCCGCTTCGGCGGGTGTCGACATGCTTTTAAAGATACTAGTATGTTATCCGGATATCGTCTCTGACAGTTACACTTTCCAACTGCCGCGCCGCCCCGCTAGATTTCCGCGAGCGCGCATGACCCTTCTTGGTTCGACCTAAGCCGCTTCCTATCACCACAGGAAAAACATGTTATGGCCCCAGGACGAGGGCACCACGAGTGGTGTCATGACAGCGGTCCGAGTGCGACCGATGTCGGACGATGAGCGGAAAGCTGGATGCCGCAACATCATCACGATGGTGGACAATCAAACGACAGTCGTCGATCCCGCCGGGTTGAGTCCCACATCAGCATCCTCCTCCTCCGCGTCTTCGTTTCGTCGACGGCAATCGGGTCAGCTGAATCCGGCGAACAGCAGTCCGTCGAAACTTGCGTCCATGGTACATGACAGCCCGACGAAGCGGCCGTCCTTGTCTGCCGAAGCCAAGTCGTCCAAGGTCTGGTCGCAATCGTTTACGTATGATCACAGTTTCTGGAGCTGCGACCCCGACCACGTCCATCACGCCGACCAGCAGCTCGTGTACGACCGCATCGGCACGCACGTGTTGTCGACGGCATGGAACGAACGCCTTCACGTGTCGTTGTTCGCGTACGGACAAACAGGTGCCGGCAAGTCGTTCAGTATGATGGGCAAGTCGAAAAGCAACCATCACGAGGCCCGCGGGTTAGTGCCCCGGATATGCCACGCGCTCTTTGACGCGATGCAATCATCCCCTCCTACGGTATCCGCCACCTCGACCACGTCGCATGTGCAAACGTCATCGCAGATCAAGGATGATGGCACTCTAGACAAACAAACCACGGCGTCACATCCGTCGCCAACGTGCACAGTCAAGATGACATTTGTCGAGATTTACAACGAACGCGTGTACGACTTGCTGGACCCGCACACCAAAGTACGATCGATCGATCGGTTCAGCACTAATTAGTGTATTCTTTCAAATAGTGTCTATAATATCTGTCTTTCTATTCCAGAATACTCTGAGATACAGTAACGTTACGATACATATATGGTGGGTGTGCGTTAGGAATCGCTCAAGGTGCGCGAACATCCGGCAAATGGTACCTACGTCGAACACGTGTCGAATCTGGTGGTCACGAGCGCGCACGACATTGAATACCTCGTCGCAGAAGGCAATAAGACCCGCACAGTTGCCGCCACGAGTATGAACCAGCTCTCGTCCCGGTCCCACGCCATCCTCACGCTTACTTTGCATTGGCTGGACAAGCGACTGGCACCCACCAAGGTGTGCATGGTGGACTTGGCCGGGAGTGAGCGGGCGGACGTCGTCGCATGTGGCGACCGGCTGCGCGAAGCCGCGGCCATCAACAAGTCCTTGAGTGCGTTGGGAGATGTGATCAATGCATTGGCAGCCACGACCAACCACGCGGCGGCGGGGAAAAGTATCTCATCGTACGACATCTCAGATGGAACTTCTTCTTCTTCTTGATGGTGATGGGGTGGTGGTGATGTAGGGGATTTGTGCAATACCGCAACTCGGTGCTCACTCGACTTCTCAAAGACAGTTTGTCTGGATCTGGTCGATTGGTCATGCTCGCCGCGATCAGTCCGTGCTGCATTCATTACGACGAAACGTTGAGCACACTCAAGTACGTCGAGCGCGCCAAGCTAGCATTCGTGGCCCAACCGTCGGTACGACTCTTGGATGTCAAATGGCCATTGGATTCGTGGCCATTGGATGTAAACTGGCCATTGGATTCGTGGCCATTGGATGTAAACTGGCCATTGGATTCGTGGTGTTATAGCAACATATAAATATTCGTTGATTCGGTTTTCGTGTATGGGGCCGTCCATGACGGGATATATATATTATATATTGATAGGATGGCGATTTGATATGATTTTGGATGGTATGTGTGGTTCTTATGTGTACCTTTTGTAGGCCCAATTGCAGGCTGTGGAGGCATCAGGTGCGGTGGACGAAGGTAACGCCGTGATGCAACTTCTTCGCTTGGAGTTGTCCATGCTTCGAAGTCAACTGCGCGTCGCTCAGCAACTTGGTGATCTCCGCCCACCATCCCAAGTCGAAGAAGAGGTCGAGATAGAATCGTCAGCTCAAAACGTTCTCGACTGCACCACACTGTCGGTGCCGCATCTGGTCAACTTGAACCAAGTACTACTACAAACTCATATATATACATATTCCTATTTCCACCATATGAACTAGGAGTCATGACGTATACTATATATTGTTTGAAGCCATTCTAATTCATGCGATATGGCGTTTTGAGTAGGACCCTCGGTACACTGAACGAGTCGTGTACTGTATCGAAGAAGGCATCACGACGGTGGGAGGTGGGGACGCCGCCAGTGATCTCGTGCCGGATATCGTGCTTGCTGGCCACGATATGCAGCCTCTGCATGCCATCCTCCACTGCACCAACAACATTGTCCGCGTCCGTCCCGCGGCGGTGGCGGCAGTCCGGGTAAATGGCCGGCCGATTCTAGATACCACCGAGCTACGTCATGGCGCCAGGCTTATGCTGGGCGATCACCATGTGTTTCGATATGATGCCGCCCATACAAGCGAGCGCGCGCCGGATATGGACTGGCACGGGGCGCACCAAGAGTTGCTCGACCATTTGCTTACACAGGGGAGCCACGACGACAGCAACAACGTTTCGATTTCACGTGAGCTCGTGCCAATGCTGGCTGTGGGAACTCATCATATGGGTTTTAGATGGGCAAACGGAACCAAACGATAGTGCTGCCAGCTTGGACGTTCGAGGTATTACTCGTATGTGTATGAATTACCCAGGTTGATGATATTGTGAATTCGCTCTAAACTTGCAAAATTCGCGCGGGTCGTCTAATTAATATGGAATCACGCTGGAGTTCGGATTGGTTGAATATACTTGTCCTTTCTGTAAGAGCCAATCAAATCCAATCAAAATTGGATTAGCGATATTCGATGATTCGTGATTCGATGGCGACATTCGATTCGACACGGTCTGGAAATTTGTACCGACTCCACAATATCGTAGTATTGATTTGTTGGTTGTTGTTGTGATATGTGGTTGGATTTGTAGAGAAACGTTTTGAAACAGTAGAGAGCTGCTGCTGCACCCAATGTGACTTTCTTATCAGTAACGTAAAACTCCAATTTCAGAACACTTTTTCCGCTGCCGTGGAAGGCGCATGTAACTCGACTCATAGGTATCGGATTATAATTCTAGAATATGTTACATGAAGCCAAAATCCAGGCCTATTCGGGAGTTATGAATGCGATATGATTCCTGTTATACTTCATTATCATTCACATCAATTCGTCCAGAAACAGTTAAAAACAAGCGGTCCAATTTAAGGTGCACCATTTTAAGCTTAGCCTTTGTATACCCATTTGCATATTTTTTGGGCCGTTAGGTTAAAAACTGCCTTTGTAGGAATTGATTGGCTAATTCTCGTGCACCTGAAATTGTACTTTTACGTTACGATGAACACACTTGGATATATATATCAATAACAAAGTCATTCAAGGTGTCCAACCAACCTACCACGAAGCAGCCACTCAATCGGACGACGGTGTCACAGGTATTTAGTCGAACGAGTGTAATTATGAGTATACACTGACGTGGCAGTTCTATTAGAACGACTTCCGGTCCCGCCATGTATAGTAGTTACCGAAAGCACCCAAACCAGCGACTACAGCTACTGTACGAGCACAAGCACAGGAACACAGTACCGGTACGACGCGGGCATTCAGTTTGATGAACACGTAAGCAACGATATATATATATATTACATGATCATTCATAACCTCGTCACAGGACAAATTCGCATTGGAGCGAAAACTCGCCAAACTCAAACTGTTGGTCAAAAAGAAAGACAAGCAACTGCAAAAAGCTGCCAGAGTGAAGGTCCATTCACTCTCTCTACCCTGTCCTCCGTTCGAAGATGCAGCCACGACCCACCGGTTGCTTCAACTCCAACATGTCGTTCTGTCCATGTTGGGAACACCTCCAGCGGTACACCGCCAATCAACCGTATCGCAGTTTTTGTGTTTTAGTTGACACATTGCTGTTGCCGAGTAGGCTACCGACCAACCACAGCCTCCACCTACTGCTACTCTAGACGACACTATGACTGCTTTGGAAACCCAAATACACACACTGCATGAAATCTGGACCGATCGACCAGCGGCGTCCAAGCCGCTGGCGTGGCTCCTTCAACAGCTCAGCTCGGAATGCAACCATCAGATTGCTCTCTGGTCCCAAGCGCAGACGTTGCAGCTGTCTTCCGCCGCCAAAACCATTGCAAGTACGCCCCATTCCATCGCACTTAAATCCCATGGCTTTGTACCTATAGATCACTATTCGTTCCTTTTGTACTCATTAATCGTTCCTTTTGTACTCATTAATCGTTACTTTTGTGCTCATTAAGTAATGCTTTTGTTCTCATTCGTTCCATTTGTACTCATTAATCGTTACTTTTGTTCTCATTCGTTCCATTTGTACTCATTAATCATTACTTTAGTACTCGTTCGTTTACATATGTACTCATTAATCATTCCTCTTGTACTCATTCGTTACGTTTGTACTCATTGGATGGGTAGATCTGGAAAGTCGGTTTGCATCGCTGTGTTTAGCCCTCAACGAACAATGCGCCCAGGAAAAGGTGCACTTTATCGCAGCATTTGACGATCAGCACACCCGCCACGACAAACTGGTCGCTGCCCAAGCCACGACGTTGGCGTTCTCGGCGAACGCACACGCCGACTCGATGGCGTTGCTCCAGAACACCATGACGGCCAAGATGGAAGCGGCCATGGACTTGCATCACGCCGACCAACAGCACTGGATGGACGAAATCCAAGCGGCGAGTCACCAGCACGTCGAGACTTTGAAGGCGATGAGCGTCCAAGCCGCGCTGGACGAAGACAAACTCCGAGTGAAAATGGCCGAGTGGGAGGCTAAGTGCGCATCCCTTGTCGCAGAAGCCGACATGGTGCTATGTGAGACGAGGGCCATGCACGCGAGGGAGTTGCGCGGTCAGCAGGACGCTGTCGCATTGCAATTGTACGACCTCGAGATGCTCCAGATGGCCCAGGAAGAACGATTTCTAGCCGATACGGAGACATTTGTCCGTGCCACAGACATGACGTGGCGCGACCGACAGCTCGAACAAGCCGCGTGGACCAATCAAAAGCAAGCAGATTTGGTGGCGCTGCATATTGAACATGAAGACAATGTGCGACAAGTTCAACGCGAACATGAGCTCAAACGCGACCGACTGGGAGAAGCCGTTGAAACGATTCAAATGTCACACGAAGAGCGACGGCATCGCTGGGTTGCCACATGTGACAGCGTCCAGAACGACATCGCAGAGGCAAAGGAACGCCATCAAGTTGCCGTTGAGGCCATAACGTTGAAACACCAAGCGTCCGAAGCCGAGCACGTTCAAGCGATGGCAGATCGTGACGTGGCATGGCGTGAGTTGCTCGCAAAGTTCGACACGAACGCGACCCACGAGTCGGTGCAACACGCCCGGTTCATGAAACAACTGGTCCAGCGCCACCACGTCGAAGTCCAGCGAGTGCAAGATGCTACAATCGAGTTGGAGGCGGCTTTAGCTAGCCAGGACGCCGCCTTGATGGACCGAGTACGCCGTTGGGAGGACAGTTTCGAGCGATTGGAGGTAGAAACCCAAGGGCGGCGGCAGCAGGTGATGGATAGCCACGGGAACGTTCTGCGGGATCTCGACGTTGCGTTCGAGGTCCAAGAAAGCACTAGACGAGATGAACGATGTAGAGTGGACATGCAACTTTGCCGTCAAGAAGCGGAGCTACGCGAGCGCGCGAGTCAGCAGACAATGACTTTTGCCATGGAAATGGAAGATGTACGAGCCAAGCAGTGGATGCAACTGTCGGCGTTAGTCGTGGTACAAGACACCAGGGTGACCAGTACGTCAGATCTAGTGGACTCGCTTCGAGCAGAGTACGACGCCAAGCAACGGATATTAGACGAGCAAGTCGAGGTACTGCAGGTCCAGTGTAGTGATGTGGAGCGACGGGAGATCGAACGGCATAAGCAAGCCAATCAAACCCATCGCGACCAAATGGACGGTCTCAGAGAGACATGGCACGAAGGCTTGGAACAACTGATGTTGTCGATGGAAGACGAACGCTGTCGCAGGATGCTCCAACTTGAACGGATGCATGTACACCACGAGCAAGCATTGGACACGTGGAACCAAGCGCAAGAACTGGCTCGGCAACGGATTCTTGCGCAGCAACGCCAGCACCAACGCGACGTCGACGCCCACCTCGATGCGATGCAAGCTGCCATGGACGAAGTGCACTTTGCACATACCACGACCATGGCCGACATTGCATCCCATCATAGTTGCATCCTTCAAGACCTTCGGTTACTCCATGCCCAGGTAGTACATATATATATATTTCATTTTTTGCTTACCTTGACGGATGGATGGTAGGCTGAAGAAGGGTGGATGCAAGAGCTCGAAGACTCCCAGCGACGCCAAGCGTGGGGGTATGCCCAAGTAGCTGCGCAGTGCGCTGACGAACTGTGGCGGGGAGAGCAATGCATTGCAGTATTACATGAGGCACATGCTGGAGCGATGGCCACTGCTCAAAGGGAGCTCCAAATAGCCGACGAAACCCATGAGATGTGGTGTATGGGGGTAGAAGATGACAGCGTTCGCCAACTCCGTCAGAATGAGTTGAGTTTGGAAGCCCAATGGAATGATATGCAAATGGACTTGAACGAACGAGAAGCTCAACTCCACCGGCAAGTGCAGCAGCTCAAGGCAGAGGCGGACCACGACGAGAGGAGCCATGAGGTGACGCTGCAACGCGCGCAAGAACACTGGACCGAAGCGCTGAGTGCCCTGAGCATGGAAAAGGAAGACGTGTTGTCTTCTCATCTAAGTCAGCTGACATTGGTAAACGACCGCCATCTCAGGTATTGTTATGATTGATAGGATATACTACTACTAGTAGTAGTAGTAATAGTAGACTAGTAGTTGGTTCTCGCACGATCCGGGCGATTTGTGTTCGTTGGAATGTATCGTTTTCCAATATGAGGTTTTATAAGTCCTACTTTTATTTTTGATAGTTTTATATTGTGAATTCGATATTGTCCTTCTCACGCAAATTTGGACTGTTCAAAAGTGAAACCGTTTTTGAATGGACTTGGCAATATATCTTGTATTTACTATAGTACAGTGAGTTCAACCTGCAACGGGCTTTTTTAGAAAACGTATTGATTGGCTGAACCGTTCAGAAATCTTGTAAAGGGGGGGTTAGAATGGATTTTGATTGGCTAGTTCATTCTCAAATCGATTTGCCAAGTCTATTCGATCCTACTCCAATTACGAACCGACTTGACATTACGAATTTCCAATCAAATCATGAATCGACGCTATTGGCTAATCCATTTTTTAGTGAATTTTTGATTGGCTCTTGCAGAAAGCACAAGTATATTCAACCAATCCGAACTCCAGCGTGATTCAACACTGATTCGACAAACCACGCGAATTTTGCAACTTTATAGCGAATTCACAAGATATGATGTTTTCGAATTCGTGAGATGATGGTTCGTTCTTCTTCAACTGAGTAGAGCTGTCGAACGTATCCGCGTCCAACTCGCTCAACACGAAGGTCGCGCCGTGTCGCAGCAAGAGCGTGCCACGTCATCAGTCGAGTCTACGCGTGCGCTGACTTTGTCCCTGTCACAGAACCAGCAAGCGTTTTACGACGAAGCTGCAGCTTCCATCGAGATCAAGTGGATTGAAACCCAAGCCAAACACACGGCGCAACTCGCGATGGAGCGCGAAAGCCACGCCCGGATGTTTCACCTGCTCGCAGAGGCGCATGCTGCCCAGCGCCGCGAGTTGGCATCAGACAAATCGGCGCTAGAACAAACGCTTGGAGCGCAACTGGCGGCATATGAACGTGATTTGGCCGTCGAAATGCAAGCTGCGTTGCGGAAGTTGTCGATTCAGGATGAGAAATGGCAGGATGAGGTCATGGTTGACCTGGACGGCGGGTACCGGCAGATGTGCGCGGCTCTGGCGGCAGATGCGGCGAGCCAAGAAGCGGCGTTCAAGAAACAGCTCCAGGATGTGCAAGATCAGTGGCGGACGGAGCTGGCCAATATCCACCTGGAACTGCAAGACATCTCAAGCCACCATATGTTATCTCTGGAGAAATGCCAAGCTCTATTTGAACGAGATTTGCAATGTATCGCCCAAAAAGAGCTCGAAATCGACATGAGGACGCATATGGAGCGACGGGAAGCAGCCGAGCGGGCCGCCATGGCGCAGGCGGAGAAGGATGGTATGGAAGGTCGCCTGCGAGCTATTCGCTACGACTTAACCCAGCGCCAGCGACAACGTCATGATGAATTTGACCTGGTGTCGCGGGATTTCCTACAGAAGACTCTGGACGCCCATAAGGACAAGGAACGCGTCCGCCGCCGCTGCCTCGCGGAACTACAAGCGCTCGAACGTCTGCACACGCGAGACCTCCGAGCTCAAGTGCCCCTTGGGCCTGTCAAGAATAGCATTCCCAAGTCGGATCTTGAAGGACAACAAAAACTGGTGCGGTCGCGGATCAAGGAGGAGTTGGTGAGAAGTACTGGACATTTGATTGAAGTGGAATATGCCTCCAATATGGACATGTTGGAAAGCGTGCATCGTGCTCAAGCAAACAAGCTCGAGATGGCCATGGAAGACGAGCAAAGTATATATATATATATATATATATATATATAGATAGATTGAACGATGGAATGGGTGTGTGTGCATAGGTCGCATGTGGGAACGACGGCGGCGGGCGCTGGCGTTCCTAGACGAACCGCCCCCGAAAATGCCCGACGTAATGTTATTATCCCGTCCATCCTCTCCTTCGACCCACGACATGTCGGACAAGTGCATGGCGCCGTCGTATTTGCTGCCCATTGAGCTGGATGTGACACGGTTTCCACACTTGGCCATGCGACCTCGTCACATGCATCCAAAAGATCAAGCGATTGCCGCTCAGTTGGTAAAAACAATCAATCGTTCGATTGGGAAGATCGTTTAAAGGATTCATTTATGTTTGTAATCATTTATTTATTACTGTATCATCACGCTGGGAAAATTTGTTTTTAATGATTCATTTATGTTTGTATTCATTTATTTATTATCATCATGCATCGTAGAAACAAAATGGCGAGTTGGTGCATCGCCTTGAAGCGGAGCGGCGGCAATTCACGGCCAAGACGGACGAGACGAGGTGCGTACACTGATGATGAAAGCAGGAATGATGTTATGATGGTTGAAGTGCGACGATGAGGTGTTGCGGTTGGTGCTAATGATACATGTTCAGTCGCGCCCTTGCCAAGATGCAAGCGTCAATGTCGTCGCTGGAAGAGATGATGCGCGTGGCGGACGAGAAAGCCAAGGAAGATGCAAGTGTGATTCAGATGCTCCAAGACAAAGCCAAATCGTGTGTAGTGGAACTGCCGACAAGGGAAGTCGTCGCGTCGACGTTCACGGTCGCGACCAAGGACACCACCAACAGTTCGGCACCCAAGGCCAACCTCCTTCGTGGATGGAAGTAGTACATACCGGTAGCATGTACCTCGAAGTACTACGTAGTAACTTAGTCATACACGTCGTAAGGACGACAAACCCGCCCGAGGTGAACAATGCCGAGTTTCTCCCCCGCTCGCTGTACGAGAAGGCCGCGATGAGGCATGATATTCAGGACATGTACAGGTTGCATCTCCATAGGCATGGATGGGTTGGGTACATAGCATCGTCAATGCACTCCACGTTGTCGTCGTCACCTCGAGAAGGATGTTTGTTCCCCACACATGACGTCGCCACCTTGAAGTGGTTGACTGGGCGACATTGGCCAATCAGACACGAATTCTGTTTGTTTCCATATCCTGTATATTCAAATCTACTAAAATTCCATGAAACCTCCTTCAATAAATAATATAGTCTCTTCATTCGTATACAGTAGACTCATGCGAATTACCTGTAACATTGAATATTATCGGCCACCGTTTTCCAAGGATGGTCATTTTGCAACACTCTTTGCACCCCCCAGTAGCATGACGATCAACGAGACCTCGCAATGGCAGCGCTTGACGGCCCACGCCAAAGAGATCAAGGAGACCACGCACTTGAAGACCCTTCTCAAGGACGAAGCGCGTAACGCGGAGCTCACTGCCGAGTACAACGGCATCCACCTCGACTATTCGCGCCAGAATGCGACCACGCAGACGTTGGACTTGCTCTTCGATTTGGCGGACGCGGCGCAATTGCGTCAAAAGCTCGCTGCTATGGCCGCGGGGGAACACATCAACACGACGGAAGACCGCGCTGTGATGCACATCGCGCTGCGCAGCCCCGCTAACAAGCCGCTGTACGTGGACGGCGTGAACGTGGTCGACGACGTGCACCACGTCCTTCGCAACATCCGCGCGTTCTCGGACAAAGTTCGCACCGGCGCGCATGTGGGCGCCACTGGCAAGCACTTGACGAACGTCGTGTCCATCGGCATTGGCGGCAGCTACCTCGGCCCGGAATACGTGTTTGAAGCGTTGAAGCACGAACCGGTCGCGAAAGCGGCGGCGGCTGGCCGCACGCTGCGCTTCCTGGCCAACGTGGACCCCGTGGACGCCGCCCGCGCCATCGAAGGCCTCGACCCCGAGCACACCCTCGTGATCATCGTGTCCAAGACCTTCACGACCGCCGAAACCATGCTCAACGCGCGCACGCTCCGCGACTGGCTCGTGTCGTCCCTCGCCAAGAAGGGCGTGAGCGCCGCCGATGCCATCCGCCAGCACATTATCGCCGTCAGCGCCGCCGTCCCCAAGGCGGAAGCGTTCGGCATCAACGCCGCCAATGTGTTTGGGTTCTGGGACTGGGTCGGTGGCCGCTACAGCGTGTGCAGCGCCGTGGGAATTGTCCCTCTTGCCATCCATTATGGCGCCGACATCACCGACTCGTTCCTGGCGGGCGCGCATGATATTGACACGCACTTGCTCACGGCGCCGCTGCGATCCAACTTGCCCGTGTTGCTGGGTTTGCTTGGAGTCTGGAACTCGTCCTTCCTTGGCCATGCCACTCGGGTATTATATATGTGACGATGTTAATGTTGACGTTATTTATGCTTTTGATCGTGCAGTCTGTTTAATATACAATGTCAACTCTGGTGGTATATATATATCTATAGATGTCTATGTATTTGGCTCGAAAATACTATTATTGTTTTTGTCGATGAATGTTCAAATCATAGTACGTTGTGATCTACTATGCCGACTAATTTTTTGTATATATATGTATATGGATTGGTATATCTCGGAAGAATCATACTATCGGTGATGATCGTGGTAATAATTGTTCTGATCGATATTTTACAACATGTGAACGTATATATATATATATATTCAGATTGGACTTGAAATATAATATTTCTTCATAACATTGTTCCGACAAGAATGACTGTACAAAATGACCATTTTGTTGTGCAGTATGCACGGCATTATCATATGTATATATACATATGATATACATATGATATATATTATGCTTTCAGCCAAAATTTGGATATTTGTGCTGGTTGGAGCAAGATTTTAATTGGCCACACAAATGATTATATTCGTGCTGTGGCGGCTTTTGAGTGGTATTAGTCCGTATATCTGTCCATATGATTTTGGTGCTGCGGATTCGATATTGAGTCCCGTCGTCGAATTTGTTTGAGTATAATAATAAATCGCCTAGCCTAATAAATGTACATATGACAGGCGATTCTTCCGTACGCCCAAGCTTTGCTCCGCTTTGCCGCACACATCCAGCAAGTGGACATGGAATCCAACGGCAAGCGCGTCGACTTGGCCGGCGTCGAGCTGCCGTTCCAAGCCGGCGAAATCAACTTTGGCGAGCCGGGGACGAACGGCCAGCACAGCTTTTACCAGCTGATCCACCAAGGTCGCGTCGTGCCGTGTGACTTCATCGGGTTTTGCAAATCGCAAACCCCCGTGGAATTGGCGGGCGAAGCCGTGAGCAACCACGATGAACTCATGAGCAACTTCTTTGCGCAGCCGGACGCGCTCGCCAACGGCAAATCGATTGACGAGCTCACCAACGTCCCGGACGCATTGAAGCCACACAAGGCGTTCCCGGGCAACCGTCCATCCGTGTCGCTCCTGTTTGAAGGCCATCTGACCGCATTTAGCTGCGGCCAACTGCTCGCTTTGTACGAGCACCGCACGGTGGTTCAAGGTGCCGTGTGGGGAATCAACAGCTTTGACCAGTGGGGTGTCGAGCTCGGCAAAGTTCTCGCTACGCAAGTGCGCAACCAGCTCTCCGCGTCGCGCAAGAACAAGGCGACTAGTGTCGATGGATTCAATAGCGCCACTGCCACCTTGCTCCAGACGTACTTGGCCAAGTAACGTTACATAATTGACGTGGTACAGTCACTTCTCGCATGATGATGATGCATGTATGAATACATACAGTACTACGTAGTACAAGATTGTGAATTCGCTATAAACTAGCAAAATTCGCGTGGTTTGGCTAATTAATACTGAATCACGCTGGAGTTCTGATTGGTTGAATATATTTATCCTTTTTGTAAGAGCCAATCAAATCCATTCAAAATTGGATTAGCCAATAGTGTCGATTCGTGATTCGCTGGAAATCTGTACCGAATCCACAATACTATTAATACTACGTAGTATTAATAGTTGACGTAAATGACCAATTTATGATCACTGTACCATTTTATGATCTCTCCGTATCAGCCAATCGCATCGCAATATTATTTGGCGGCAAACCTCTCGTAAATTATACGCTCGAGTTTCAAATCCCAAACAAATCCCAATCACAGCTTTGATGGTCAATGACGTACTCCGGAGTACATGCTTGCATCTTAAAATACCTTGTTCACTGTGTCACTTGTCTATCTGTTTCGAGTGCCATGGTTTCTTGTCGTTATTGGAAATGCGAGAGTTCAAGTCTTTCTCTTGAAACGCATAACCTTGACAAATGATATTTTACCTGTCAACAATACGTACCCTATCCGCACAATTTGTAAGCAAGTTGCCATACATAGTTCAAGCTTAAAAAAGCATCATAAATAGTCTCCAAAAAACGAGTAAACTTGCTTGGAAAGTCTGACTTGTGTACCTGAACAATATTCTTAAAGGCGACAATATGATGATGAGGTTAAAGCAACATGTTTCGTTGTTAACAATCACTTCACAGAATGTGAAAATTGTTCCTGAGACCGGAGATATGTGAATTCTTCGATGACGCCTTAGGAAAAGTGATCATAAATTGGTCATATTAAAAGTTGCGCTGATTCGAATTCATGCCCGAACCGTTTGCACGGGATCAGTTCTGTGACCTCGTACGACATCCAAAGCGAGCGTGAACTACCATGAACTCTACTGTACTATTATAGTATGCTACAGTATATATTAATTAATACCTGACAGTGAAATAAATCCACCATCTGGCGGTAATAACACCAAGCAATTGCTCAGCAGCATTGTACCGTAAAGTTACCACTTTGGCCAATGAACGTGTGTACGTACGCTTCACGATATTAACCCACGACTGGCTTGACCCAGGGTACAACAGCTGCACGAGCAGGAAATCAAAGCCACATAATTACCAGCAAGATCGGGTTTTTTTGTGGCTGCTGCCGCTTGACAAGAGTGGGACCGTGTCAATCCGCAGCACGTGGATGATCATCGTACGTTGTACAACGTACATATTATCGTACATTATACTACATACAATATCAAGGTTATTTATTTAATGTACGGCCTTGTTACGTTGGACGTACGACACATGCACGTTGAAGTACATCTGGTTAGTTTGCCATTTCACATTGCATCCCATGGACAAACACGAGGAGGACACGTGCACCTACACGTACAAAACGTGCGGCAACCGACGCACAATCAAACGCGACGGGTCGTTCCATCGCTTGTGCGAATTCCACCGAAAAAAAGCCAACGCCCTCCAAAAGGCCTACGCTACCAAGCGGCGCAGGGAGTTCCATTCGCTGCGGGAGCTCGTCAAGCAGTCCGTACAAGTGGGCCGCGACTGCATAGACAACAACACGAACAACACTTTGTTCGATTTGGATGAGGTGGAGCCATTTGCCCTGTCGTCCCAAGCTGCCGGGTTCTCGGACGAGGAGTTTGCATATTTGTGTCTGGAGTTGCAATTATTATAACTGAAGTAACGTTAGCAATATTGTCCGTTTGAGTAAACTATCTCGTGGCCAAACATCGTTCAGGCAAAGTGGTAGGTAGCCTGCGGTGTGGATATTATTTACCAAGATCGATTTCAAACTCGCTCTTTTGATTGTTCACTTGCTATATATAGCATACTTTTCATGAACTGTGAATTCGATTCAGAAGCTGGAACGCTGCTCAATGGCCCCATGAGAAATTGATTGAGATGAAGTCACGCCATGACGACTCCCTTGACCTTTCGACGACTAATTCCAGCGCAGCGCATGCAAACTGAGGCACCCTCGGATACAAAAGTCCCCGACGACCAAGTAATCGTTAGATGTTTCTAGGGTCGTCATAAGGTTGGCAATCACGCCCATGGGCTTGTCGGTGTGGTGCAAATCTTCCGTACCATCCCACCCTAAGGCGCCCCAATCGATTTCACGCGCGAACCACACGATGGAAAGTTTGTCGCCTAAAGTTTGCAGAGGGGATACTAGTAGGGCATACATAGCGGCGGTCGTGGGGGTGACTAGGTCGATGTTCATCGCCCACATGAGGTCCAAAAATAACATTTTGTTGTTGGGAAGTCCATTGATAACTCGACGTGGTTTCGAATCTCGATCATTTCGTGCCCCGACATCCCTGAGCCTTTGGAGAAAGATCAACACCCGTCGGAGCTTTGGGGGGCTTCACGCTCGACGAGATTCAGGGGGCTTGTAAAATTGTATGTGGCGTTCATCGATTCCATTTTTACCACACCGTGATGAAATATTTTAGAGTGACCTTAGCGATTTCTGTATTCTCATATTCCCTATCGTTGATATACTTAGGGTGGGTCTGGATGCCATGAAAAATGGCATAAAATGGCCGTTTTCCCAAGAAAAGTTGGCAAAATCGAAATATTCCATTTTTCGAGATTTTGTACGTCTGGATGCCACCAAAGTTCATTACTTTATGCCACAATTTTCTTGAGAATCGAGTGTTTTATGGCATAAAAAAAAAGGACCGATTTGGTCCAACTTTTTTATGGAGGTTTGTATTCACGTTGAAGTCTTGCACTTCAATCGAAAATCGAATATAATTTTTCCAAAATTCAGCTGGTATCCAGACAACTTTGGAGATACTTCTTTTCTCCTTTTTTCATGGGATATCAGACTTTGGGAAAATTTGAAGACTTGCCAAAACGGTTTATGGCATAATTTTATGAGGTGGCATCCAGACCAGCCTTAACGTTATCGTCCGTACTTTGTTCCAAGGACCCTCAGAGTTAAGAATACCCCGAAACCCCGAAATTTGACAACATGAGGGGGCTCCGCCCTCTCACCCCCACCGCCCGTTGGGCGGGCGCTCTTCGGCCCGATGGCGCTTCGCGTAAAACGCACTATCGTGCGAGTTTAATTTATAGAAAAACCCCGAAACCCCTGGAAACTAAAAGTCGAATAAAAAAATTCATGTTGGGTATATTTAGAGCTTACTTGAGTTTTGTACTACGTACAGGGAACGACGCTGAGTAACGGCGTGATGAGGACTTGTGATTGGACAGAGAGGCGGTTCGAATTGGCCAATTGAGGATCACAAAACTAAAATATAAAAAAAGTATCGAATGAATAAATGTACTATTGTGCTTTTCAACTTTTTTGGCTATTCCAGGACTAAATCCATGCTTTAATAATAATTTCTGCTAAAATTACGGCACTCGTCCATGATTTTACGGATGCAACAGACCCATTTTTCCGGTTCACCCTTGAATAATTACTATTCGTGATGATGTGATTGGTCAAGAATTGGTGGATGTGCTCGGATTTATCTTATTCAACTTGTTTGCCCATTTC